GCTGGGCTGCTATCATGGTCATCTCATCCAGCTTTTCTTGCAGACGTCTTTGTCCTTCCATGTTCTGTTCCTTGGCAGTGATTTCTCCCACATTTTGGTGGACAAATAGGCAGCTTGGAGAAAGTTTTACTTGCTTCATCCTCAGAAAAGCCTGCACAGCAATCTGAAGGACATCTTGCATTTCTGAAGGGTTTTCTCCAAAGATATTGATGAGGGTCATGTTGCCGATGCCAATGACAAAGGTGGCCAGCTCATTGTCATGATTAAGGGACTGTTTATTGGCCATCTCTATGGCACGAAGTCCTTCTGTGTCGACAACGAGCATGTAATCAAAGTTCAAATCCTGTTGCAGCTTCTCCTCCACTTTAATTAGCTGCATAAATGCTCCCCGAGTGCACCTCCCTGCACTGACGTTAAACTGAAGTCCAAACATGGCGTTCAACAGGGTTGACTTCCCTGTGCTCTGGATGCCAAGAACAGAAAGAACAAATACTCTTTTGTCCCCCAGCTTCTCAATTAAACTGTCAAAGATTGCTCCAACCCATCGTAGTGGTACGTAAGAAGCGTCACCATCCATCAGCTCAATGGGATACCCTGAAACCATCAGATCAGCTGCGATGTCTGGTAGTTTGGCAAAACATTTATCCTTTGACTTCATTGCTTCCAGAGCTTCGTAAATCTGCCCTACCTCTCTCAAAATATGCTCAAGGCCTATGGATGAATCATTTATTTCATTGGAGAGGGCTTCTAACTTAACCAGCATCAGAGACTTCAGGTTGTTTTTTTCATTGCTTTTCTTTATTCCCAGGATTTCAGACCATAACTGGTGATATTTTCTCTTCAGTTCATCAAGGCGATCAGAGGACAGGTCATCCATGAAAACCTTCATCCACTGCAGGAAGTATTTCTTGGTATCTGCTGGCTGTGACTCAAGAAAGCCAAGGACTGATCTCATCAGCTTATTGAGGGGGAATGCTTTATCCAGTTGCTTTCTTCTTATTGCTGACTTCTCTGATTCAATTTGACTCCGATGATGCTCGATGCTCTTGTTCCTCTTCTCCTGCAAGCGAGTGAGTTCTTTGTCCTTTTTGCACCATGAGTACCACAGTTTTCCTTGAAGAGGCAGTAGCTGGGACTTGATCTCAAACAACTTTTCTTTCTTCAGAAGCTTCATCAGGGCCTTTGCCTTTTCTTTAGCTGTCACACACTCGTCTGTATCTTCATCAACTATGAATCCATGCTTGCGAGCTTTGTCCAGGCAAGCATCAAGGCTGAGAAACTTGCTAGATCCTCCCAGAAGATCTCTGATTGTTTTTGTCAGCTCACCCATTAAGTCTGCTTCATTTCTGTTCTTGATACCTATTCTTATTTTTTGGCTAGATCGGCGAGCTGTGACATTCTCTTTCTCAGTTAAAAGACAAACCAAAGGCCTTTGTGACTGCCACAGGTCACGTAGAATTTTCATCCCTTTCTTGTCACTCTGATCAGACTCAGATACAAGAACCACATTCACAGCTGATATCTCCTGTAAAAACTGCAGCTGTTTGTCATGATCCCTCACATCTCCACGCAGGTTACAGAAAGCAACACAGCAGTCAAAGCTGTCATCATCACTGCCTCGGGGACAGTACCAGGAGATCTCCACAACACCTTTCATCAGCAAACAGTCTTTGGTGCTGCCTTTGCAATGTCGGTGGAAAAAAGTGTCGTGCTTCCGTTTGCTCAGCAGAGCATTCAGGATCTGAGACTTGGAAGAGGAGGGAGACCTGCCAATCCGTATGAAGGACACAATGGGTGTCTCTGCCTGACAAATGAGTTTGTTTTTGTAGCTGGTAATTCTGGCCTGCTCTCCTGACTTCTCAACCCCTTTCCAGCTCTTTTTAATTTGGCTGAGGGACCAGAGGGGGAGCTCTATCTGTGAAGTGCACGGGTTTGGTACTAGCAGAGGCAGAGCAAACTGGCAGAAAGCAAGTTTTGTTGAAATGTACTGTCTCATGAAATCATCAGCACAATGAAAAATTGCCATCTGGATGTCCATGGGGTGCACACGACTCTCCCTGGTTGCAGATTCATGGGCTTCATCCTCCAAATCAGTGAAAAAGTCATCAAAGGAATCTGAGGGTTCATGCTCTTCCTTTGTGTTTTTTGGCACAGGTGCGAGTCCTGCATCAGGCTCGTCCTTGCAGGTCAGGTACCTCACCCGATAATCCACGGTTAAAAGCTTTTGCAAGAAGTAAAATGGTAGTTCATTGTCCTTGCTGGGCTGGCTGTTGTGTAAAGATGTGTTGTATATGATGTGGAAATCTTCTGTCCCCATTTTTCTCGGATAGTGACTTTCTAGTTCAAGACGCTTAAGTAAGTGGAGGAACTCTGGGTTTGTAATGGGTTGATTTTCTTTGGGTTTGCTGCTGTCTGATTTGGATTTGGACTGACTGGAAGGCTCTGTTCTTTGAAAAGTGTCTTCCATGTCTTTGATTATACTGTTTTTCTTCAGATCATCACATGTGTCATCGAAGTGCCCATTGATGAAGGAATGCAAGTCATTTTCCAACATCTCCCAATCTTTGAATCCACTGTGCTTTTCCAGGAGAGTTTTTATCTCTGAAGACCATAAGTTTTTCATATGATGTTCCATGAAGACTAAACGCTCATTCTTCTGCTTGGGGGACACCTCTTTATCTTTGGGAGTTATGGTTAGACCTGTCAGCAGCAGGAAGGCCTGGGCTCTGTAAATGTCTTGGTCCTTCAGATTCAGATACTCCTTGTGTCCCATTTGCATTTCATTTATCATGAAGTTAATTTCTGGATATCCAAGGAGGTACTGAAAAGTGCTTCTTTCCACCTGGTATCCTGTGCTGGTCGTAATTAAGAGCACCAACAGTTCTATGTCTTTTTGTGCCCTGTCCTGGAGAAACTGGAGAAAGGAATAAACAGATAGGCTTGCAGTCAAGGTGGCTTTTATCTTTGCTTCATGAATGGCAGATGCGGAGGTTCCTGGTGCATAGGTGACTTCCTGGATGTGTTCCTTCATTTGCAGCAGTGTCTTTGTGAGATCTTCAAGCTCAGAAACATTGGGAGTTTCAGGAAGCATGTCCTCAGTATGGAAGATCCATTGCATAATAAAGGAAGATCTGGGGAAGTCCTTCACAGAATAGATATGAGGATCCAGGAGGCATCTCAGCAGAGACTTGATATAGGTGATGTTTTTTGGAGGTGACCTCTTGCTAAACAGAACAGTATTCACCAGGAACTCCTGCAGTGCTTTGTCCGACAGGCACACGTTGATCCAGACACTGTGGTTTTTGGTTTTTTCAGCCAGATACTGTTTGAAATCTATCAGGGTGAGCAGTTTCTTTTCATCCACCGTCACCTCCCAGGCCTTCACGAGCTCCACGAAAGCTCTGGCCTCTTCCACCGCGCTGACCAGTTCATCCCCAAACATGGTGCCGATGCTGTGATTCGTTAGTGCTTCATACACAGCCCTGAGGCTGCTGCTCATTTGATAGACGGACTTAAAATCACTGCGGTGATTGAACTGGATTATATCCCACACTGGGATCAGCTGAAAGCCCCGGTCGATAACACTCCAGGTTGTGTTATTAGTTACAAGCCCCAGTTTCCACTGAGGAAGAGAATCCGTCTGTGATGGGCCCCCAGTGTGGGTCACGTATAACTGAACTGCTGTGTGGGCACTTCCTCCATCTCTTCCCTGGCTAGATGCCTGTGAGCTGGATTTTGAAACGTCCACGTCCACCCCCATGCTGACGCTGAAGCTGCTGTAGCTGGCCCCCACGTAGCAGTTCAGTGCTTCAGACACTTGTCGCCTCATCTCTTCCCGCTGCTCTGCTTGGAATCCTTCCGTAGATGCTTTCCACCAGAATATCCCTCCAAAGTGGAGGGGACCCTGGTTGACGTGGGACCCAAACCTGCTGAAGAAGCTCGTGCACCTGCTCTTCAGCATGTTAGGCCTGTCTGCTTCCTGGGTGATGCTCAAAAGGTGCTCAATGTCTTGCAGCTCCCGCAGGGCTGCATCTGACAGGCAAAGCTGATGCTTTTGGAAGTAGCAGGAGGCCAGAGGGAGGTACTGGTACTTGGTGGTGCAAATGTAGCTCTGCTCAGAACTGGACTGGTGGGTGTTCTCTGACCGTGAGGAGCTGCTGTAATCTTCACCAGCTTCAACATTAAACCCCCAGAACCCACCTTTGGCAGAAACACTGATGCTGAACCCCAGCTGCTCTATGGACTTGGTGAAAGTGGCTTCTGCTGCAGAGGAGGAGAACTCCTTCCTCTCAAGCAGTGACCCTTGCTCTGGACTGGCAAGCTTGAATCCGTTGGGAACCGTGATGAGCTGGTCTCGCTTTGCCAGCACATCCACAAGGCTGCTGGTTCTGTAAATGCCCTGCAGGGCCAGTCCCCCCGATGCTCGCCTCAGGACCTCCATGTCTGAAACATTCTCACCCCTGTCCACAGATGACTCCTGCTTCTCCAGATGCTTCTGGATGTTCTCCAACACATCCACCAATGACTCCTGCGGTGCTGCCCAGAATTCTTTGGGAATCTCCATGGCTTGCCACAGAGCCTCCTCTTTCTGTCTTATAACATCCTTGCTGTGTCTGCGGCTCTTGTGCATTTCTTTCAGCTCCTTCAGGGCTAGCCTGGCTGCTTCTTGCCTCTCCTTCACCATCTTCAAGCGGTCCTTCTGCAGCTCCTCAAAAGATGTGTTGTTTTCTGTTAGTTCCAGGAGTTTTTGGAGTGCCTTTGTTTCCCAGGGGTACTGTACTTCACATTCCAGCTTAAGGTAGTCTTCATATTGCAGATGCTTCAGGGCTTCTCTGGACTTCACTCCCAGTATCTCTGACAGTTTTGGGAGCCAGTATCTACCATCCAGTCCTTCCTTCTCACATGCTTCTTCCAGGAGTCTTTTAGCAAGAAGTGCCTTTTCATCATTTTCTTGTATGTCCTCCTGGAAACCCATGGCTGTGGAAGAGGAAAACAGACTTTCTTTAAATGGACTAGAATGATCTTTAAGGTCCCTTCCAACCCAAACCAGTCTGGGATACTATGATTCTATGACAATGGATGTTCTTGCTGCTTTCCCATTTGCAGGTTCAACCCTGAAGCTGAGTGTCTATCCTGGATGCAACACACACACCCTTACTTGGCCATACAACCTGCCATGGGCAAGGTGCTGCCTTCAACCATGCCCAGCAGAACTTATAAATACCTAAGTATAGATCACCGTGGACATTCCTGGGTCCCTCAAGTACCAACACAGCCTCTATATCCATCCAACATCCCTGCCTGCACCCTGCAGCCTTTTACCATCCCTATGGGTCTCCTCACTGGCTGGTCCAGCCTGGTGCTCACCAGCCAAGGCACACACTCAAACACTCATCCCATGGGCACCCCCCACTCACAGGATGCATTCAATCCAAATACCCAGTGCTGGGCACATGCGCTCTGACCTGTGGTCCTGCTTTTGCTCACAGCCATTCCTCTCCAGGAGCTGATTCTCAGGACACACATCATTCCTGGGAAAAATTCAGGTTACCCTGTCCAGAGCTGTGCCTGGAGCATCCTGTTAACATTAGGGACTGGAGACTTTGGGTTTTTGGCATTGTTTCCAGGACCCTCTGTCTATCCAGTTTGTGTCCTTTTGTGGTTTTCTCCCTTCTCTTGTTTTCCCATATGCAGTGGAAAGGTCCTTGACTCCCACCAATGACACAGGATGCTTACCCAGGACAGGTCTTGATCTGAGGTGCTTTTGACTGGGCTCTTGGAGCCTTCCAAAGCCCTTAATGTCAGCTTTTCCTTTAAAGTCAGTGATGATTTAGGCAATATGCTCAATTAATGTGGGGTCTGGTTCATCTCACCTCACAGCAGATGCTCCTTTTGGTCAGATGCTCCTTTTAATTCCCAGAGGACACAGGCAGCCTAGGTCTTCAACTCAGCTGAGACAGCACACTGTCACACAGCATTCCTGGTAGGCAAGGCTGGGGTGTTAAGATTAATATGGGGACCAAATAAACGATTCAGGAAGACAAACACTGGGAAGGAAAGTCCCAAAATCCTAAAGTAGAAGAACAGAGAGTCAGGAGATGGCAACCCATCAATGTGAAGGATTCATTCCAGGGAGTGGTGGAGGCCATCCCTTCCCCAGCACTGATGATTTCCCAGCCAGCGAAGAGTAATCAGGGCCTTTTTGGGGTCCAGACCAGAGTTTCACCTAGGACCTAAACCCACACACATATTATGTATGTTAGCCCAAGGACAGTTTAGAAAGCAGACTCATAGAATCATTTTGGTTGCAAAAGACCTTTAAGATCAAGTCCAAGATGTACAGATTTCCTGCTTTCAGAGACTCTTCTGCACACAGCAGAAGGTGCCCAGGAGTGACTCAGGACAGGACTAGTGCAGTGGCTCAAGACTGACTTAGAGGACAGGACTTAAACACTGGAACAATGTCACATGGAGGAAGACCATGCCTGGCCACAGAGTCAAAGAGCAATCTGACTCTAATATAAAAAGGATCCCCCAGGAGAGGGATCCTTATTGAATCATCAAATCACAGATTGATTTGGGTGGGAAAAGATTTTAAAAGGCCGTCTAGTCCAAGCCCCTGCAGTGAGCAGGGACATACTCAACCACATCAGGTTGCTCAGAGCCCCATCCAAGCTGACCTGGAATAGTTCCAGGGATGGGGCATCTCCCACCTCTCTGGGCAACCTGGGACAGTGTCTCAGCACCCTCAGAGTAAAAACTTTCTTCCTTCTCTCTAGTCTGAATCTCCCCTCTTACAGTTTAAAACCATAAACCCTTGTCTCATCACTACAGGCCCTGCTAAACAGTCTGTATACATCTTTGTTACAGGCCTCTTTACGTACTGAAAGGTGCAATAAGGTCTCGCTGGAGCCTTCTCTTCTCCAGACAGGACAACCCCAACCCTCTCAGCCTGTCCCCAGAGCAGAGTGCAGTGCTCCAGCCCTCCCAAACTGTTCTCTAATTCTATGATTCTGTAAAACATCTGTGCTCCCTGGTCAGGCTCAGCCAGCCTCAAGACAAAACTCAAGCCCCTGGAGACAGGAAGAAACCCAGCAGAGTTTGGTCCCCACCAGTGACTCACCAGCAGCTCGTGCACTTCTGCCAGCAGGATGGGGGAAAGAAGTGGAAAAACAAAAGCAGGAAAAACTCCTGGGTCAAGATATGGACAGTTTAGTGAGCAAAGGAATGTAGCTCCAGCTCATCAAGCAAAGCAGAGTGTTTATTCATTCCTTGCCCTGTTTGGGCAGATGTCTCCTTGGGAAGCAGAGCCTCAGCATGCATGAGAGCTGCTTGGGAAGGGAAACATTGCAGCCACCAACATCTTCCCCCTCTTCCGCCTTACCCCCACAGCTGAGCCCAACACTGTGCAGCTCTGTCCCCTGCCAGCTTCTTACCCTTGGCCCGCTATCAACAGTATTTCAGTCTCAGATGCTCAAACCAGCACTGCACTGTGATAGAGAGCACTGACTTCAGCCCAGCCAGACCACCCAGGCAGATTCTGAACTCCCAGCACAGCTTCATATTTCTTCAAGAATAAGGACAAAGCCACATTTGATTGTTAGTGCACACAGAGCACCACTAAGCATATTTATGGAATAACTAGGGATCATTTTCTTCTTTGGAAGCCAATGAGGGGCTGCACCGGGGACCAGAGCACTTTGGGTGGTGAAGTTTAGACTGCAGGAGAGGCTCAGAGAGCTGAATCCCACCATCACTCCATTGAAAGGAAAAATAAAAACTCATGGGGGCTGAAACCAGATCATCTTTAAGGTCTCTTCCAACGCATGATTCTGTGAGTCCCTTTGGCTTCAGGTCAGAGCAGGGTGTCCTATTAATGTTGTTTGTAACCCCAGGGCTGTCACGCTCTTTACCGAGTGGCGCAGGAGAAGACATCACCACCCAAGCTGCCCCACCCCCCAGGACTGCACCCCAGCACCTGTCACTTCTGCACCCCCAATAATGCTGACAGAGAGAATATTTCAGCAAAGGATGTTAACAATGGTGTTCCCCAGATTATCTGTTCAGCTTCTGAGGACAAAAGATTGCCCATAGGGCTGCCTTCCCACCTGCCCTTGGGCCGTGCGGTCTCACGCTGACATGTCCCAGCCTGGTTCCCCATCACAACATCACAGAACAGTTTGGGTGGGAAGGGACTGTAAAGATCATCTAGTTCCAAAACTCTTGCCATAGGCAGGAACACCTCCCACTAGATCAGGTTGCTAGGTTGCTCCAAGCCCCATCCAACCTGGCCTTCAACACTGCCAGGGATGGGGCAGCCACAGCTGCTCTGGGCAACCTGGGCCAGTGTCTCACCACCCTCACAGCAAAGAATTTCTTCCAAGGATCTCATCACAACTTCCCCTTTTGCAGCTTGAAACTGTTCCCCCTCGTCCCATCACTCCCTGCCCTTGTCAAAAGTCCCTCTGCAGCTTTCCTGCACCCCCTTCAGGTCCTGGAAAGTGCTATAAGGTCTTGGCTCCTGATGGGCTTCTCATCACCTACCATGCCCAAGTCCTTCTCCTCAGGGCTTCTCTCCATCCATTCCCTACCCAGCCTGAATTTGTGCTTGGGATTGTCCTGACCCACATGAAGGACCTTGCACTTGGCCTTGTTGAACTTCATGTGGTATGCGCAGGCCAGTCTCTCCAGGTCCCTCTGGATGCCATCCCTTCCCTCCATCCCTTCCTAACCCCAGGGCAGGGAACAAATGGCACCAGGGTGCAGGTCATGCACAGCTCCACAGCCTCCCCAGCTCCTGGGCCCCAGCCCCAGGCATGGCTGGGTTACAGGCAAGTGCACCCATCCTGTCCCACCACAGGGCAGGATAAGTCCTAGCTGGAGGGAGCATTTCCCAGCCTGGGAATGGCATTGCAGCAGGGAAATATCTGTCCAAAGGGGTCTGTCCCTAGAACAGACTACTCCCTCGCCATCCCACCCAGCTGCCAGCTCTTCAAGCCAGGCTTTGTACCTCTGTGTATATCAGTCTGTCCCTGAATCCCGCCTGGATCTCTCCTCCTTCTGCACCTGCTCCTGATCCAACCCTTCTCCCTCGTTCCCTCCCACCTTCCCAGTTCGACTCTTGCAACACACACAGGTCCTCAGAGCTTCCCGCAAACAGGCTGGTGACCAAAGTTTGCTTCCTCCATCCCACACGCAGGGCAGAGAGCACTCACCTGCTGCCCTAAAAAACCCTTTTTTTTCCTTCCGTGGCATCTCTCAAGCAACGGGAAAACATGTAAAATATGAAGCAGAAGACAAAGAAGATCCCCACTCTGTGCTGATCCCTGGCTCACAGCCCCAGAGCTCACCAGCAAGTTCCTACCTTCTCCCTTCGGTGCTCAGCAGCTCCCAGGCTGGTGTCAGCCCACTCCAAACCCACTCTTTATAAATCCTCTGGTCTTCTTTGATAGGTTCCTGCTTCCAGCTGATAGAGGCAGAGAGGAAAGATTACAGCTTTCCGGAAATCAGGCCACTTCATGCAGTGTGTGAAAGTGAAACTGAGCAGCTGCAGCCTGAACTGTTGCTGAGTAATGCAGCTCAGAAGGCACCAGGAGCCCCTGAGGAACACACAACAGGATCCCAAATCATGTCCTGGGCTCTGCACAGGAGTGCTCAGTGCTCCCATCCAGTGCTAACAGGTCCTGGTGAAGCTGCTGCCTGTGTCTGGGGTGAAAGGCAGCTGGGGCGAGGCTGGGCAGGGCTGGGCAGCACTGGGGCTCTTGGCTCTTGGCACTGGAGCAGCTGCAGCCTGAACTGTTGCTGAGTAAGGCAGCTCAGAAGGCACCAGGAGCCCCTGAGGAACACACAACAGGATCCCAAATCATGTCCTGGGCTCTGCACAGGAGTGCTCAGTGCTCCCATCCAGTGCTAACAGGTCCTGGTGAAGCTGCTGCCTGTGTCTGGGGTGAAAGGCAGCTGGGGCGAGGCTGGGCA